CTACAATTCTGCCCTTGTACTCTTCAGACATGGTATGACTTACCATTCTGCCCTTGTACTCTTCAGACATGGTATGACTTNTCCTTGTTTTCCTCTGACATGGTATGACTTACCATTCTGCCCTTTTACTCTTCAGACATGGTATGACTTACCATTCTGCCCCTGTACTTTTCAGACATGGTTTGACTTACCATTCTGCCTTTGTACTCTTCAGACATGGTATGACTTACCATTCTGCCCTTGTACTCTTCAGACATGATATGACTTACCATTCTGCCCTTGTATTACTCCGACATGTTATGACTTACCATTCTGCCTACTATTCTGACTCTGTATTCCTCAGACATGTTATGACTTACCATTCTATGGTATGACTTACCATTCTGCCCTTGTACTCTTCAGACATGGTATGACTTACCATTCTGCCTTTGTACTCTTCAGAGATGGTATGACTTACCATTCTGCCCTTTTACTCTTCAGACATGGTATGACTTACCATTCTGCCTTTGTACTCTTCAGAGATGGTATGACTTACCATTCTGCCCTTGTACTCTTCTGACATGGTATGACTTACTATTCTGCCCTTGTATCTGCCCTTGTATTCCTCAGACATGTTATGACTTACCATTCTGCCCTTGTATTACTCTGACATGTTATGACTTACCATTCTGCCATTGTATTCCTCTGACATGTTATGACTTACCATTCTGGTTATGACTTACTATTCTGCCCTTGTTCTCCTCTGACATGTTATGACTTACTATTCTGCCCTTGTTTTCCTCTGACAGGGTATGACTTACCATTCTGCCCTTGTTTTCCTCTGCCATGATATGACTTGCCATTCTGCCCTTGTACTCTTCAGACATGCTATGGCTTACCATTCTGCCCTTGTTCTCCTCTGACATGTTATGACTTACTATTCTGCCCTTGTATCTGCCCTTGTATTCCTCAGACATGGTATGACTTACCATTCTGCCATTGTACTCTTCAGACATGATATGACTTACCATTCTGCCCTTGTACTCTTCTGACATGGTATGACTTACTATTCTGCCCTTGTATCTGCCCTTGTATTCCTCAGACATGGTATGACTTACCATTCTGCCATTGTACTCTTCAGACATGATATGACTTACCATTCTGCCCTTGTATTACTCCGACATGTTATGACTTACCATTCTGCCCTTGTTTTCTTCTGACATGGTATGACTTACCATTCTGCCCCTGTTCTTTTCAGACATGGTTTGACTTACCATTCTGCCCTTGTTTTCTTCTGACATGGTATGACTTACCATTCTGCCATTGTACTCTTCAGACATGATATGACTTACCATTCTGCCCCTGTACTTTTCAGACATGGTTTGACTTACCATTCTGCCTTTGTACTCTTCAGACATGGTATGACTTACCATTCTGCCATTGTACTCTTCAGACATGATATGACTTACCATTCTGCCCTTGTATTCCTCCGACATGTTATGACTTACTATTCTGCCCTTGTATTCTTCTGACATGGTATGACTTACTATTCTGCCCTTGTATTACTCAGACATGTTATGACTTACTATTCTGCCCTTGTATTCCTCACACATGTTATGACTTACCAGACATTTTATGACTTACTATTCTGCCCTTGTATTCCTCACACATGTTATGACTTACCAGACATTTTATGACTTACTATTCTGCCCTTGTATCTGCCCTTGTATTCCTCAGACATGTTATGACTTACTATTCTGCCCTTGTTTTCCTCTGACATGGTATGACTCACCATTCTGCCCTTGTATTACTCTGACATGTTATGACT